AACGTCAGCTTTCCTGCTCCTCTGATGCTGCTTGGCCTGCTGTGTTCATCCAGCTCTACACCTTGTTATCTCAGATTCTCCAGCATCTGCAGTTCCCACTATCTCTGAGCCATTAAACTTTGATTGGATATTGTAGTAGGTGATCAAATTGGAAAGTTCGGAAATTTGGAAAGCAGTTAACTGAATTGCATTTGCTTGATGCCTTGATTAAAATGGCAGATAGATTCATAATCGGGCATCACAGTTTAAGAATATGCCACTAAGGATTGAAATGAGGAGAAATGTCTTCACCCGGAGCGTGGGGAGCCTGTGGAACTCTGCCACAGAAAGTGGTTGTGGGCAAAACATTGGATATTTTGAAGAAGGAATTGGATATAGTTCATAGAATCCCTACAGTGTGGAAACAGACCCTTTGGCCCAACAAATCCACACTGACCCTCAGAGCATCCCACCCAGACCCATCTCCCTCATCTACACATCCCTGAGCACTATGGGTAATTTAGCATGGCCAATCCACCCTAACCTACACATCTTTAGGCTGTGGGAGGAAACCAGAGGAAACCTACACAGATACAGGGAGAATGTGCAAACTCTGCTGAGGGTGGAATCAAACCTGGGACCCTGATGCTGTGAGGCAGCAGTGCTAACCACTGAGCCACCCTCTAAAGAGAGTTCAAGAGCCTCTATAAAGGGGGCACCCAGACTTGAACTGGGGACCTCTTGATCTGCAGTCAAATGCTCTACCCCTGAGCTACACCCCCACTGTGGCAGGTTTAATTCTTAGGGCTAATAGGATCAAAGGATATGGGGCGAAAGTAGAAACAGGGGACTGAGTTGGATGATCAACCATGATCATTTTAAATGGGGGAAGCAGGCTCGAAGGGCTGAATGGCCTACTCCTGCTCCTATTTTCTATGTTTCTATTAATACCATACAAACAAATTGAGCCTTCATGGGTTATTTCAGTCAGTAGTAGTTACAAGGCTAACCTTTACGAAAAATAGCAAGCTGAGTCTGAACTCCATATTCACTGTCACGGCCATTGCAGGTTTAACCAGGATCTGAAAATCCACAGTGGTTCATCAACTGAAGTATTAACAGGAAGGCAAGCATACATCAAAACTGGAATACTGCAATCTGCTTAATTTCAGACTGATACAAAGCAGCTCAATTTGTTTGCTAACACAGAAAGCTTCCCTGCTCCGCACCAGAGCAGGATGGTTTGCAAACAGCACCGGTATAGATCAGAATTACAGCACCGGTATAGATCAGAATTACAGCACCGGTATAGATCAGAATTATGTCTGTGTAAATTTAAACTAAAATTTGAGATGACTTGGACTAACCTGAGTCTGTTGAATTAAGAATAGTTCTGTGTGCTGTGTTATCGTGCCCCTGGGATTAAGCTGAAACATGAATTCCTTGGAATAAGGGACGTCCAGAATTTGGATGCGAGGTTTTTGCACTGAAATATGCTGCATTTGGCAGGGGAGCTCTGTAATTGTGTGCATGCATGAATACTATATAAGCAACACATCTGCAGAATAGTTTCCAAAGGCATATGCTAGAGTGTGCTTTACTCTGTAATCCCAACTGAGATGTCTCACTGCCTTTCTCAATGAAATGGAAATTGTTGCTCGAAACACATTCAAAGGGTTTTAAACTCTGGCCGTTGGGTCGATGGAGACAAACAGGCTTAAAAAAAAAGCAACCTCATCAGTGACATTGTCCATTTCTTTTTTAACAGGGGGTGCGTGGACCTACTGGAAGTCGAGGTGCCAAAGGTTATCCTGGCAGGCAGGTGCAGTAAATCTTCTCGTGCCGTGCAGTTTAACACCGAGAACATGTTCATATATTTACAAAACACGTCTAACTGAGAGTTTACAGAAAGGCCGGGGACATGGCCTGATTATAGGTGGATTTAGCCTGACTGAGCCAGCACGGAGGCAGTGTGCGATATGTGTATTTCACACCGTATAGATGCTGAGAAACACCGTATAGACACCTAGAGACACCGTAAAGATTCTTAGAAGCGCTGTGCAGATGCTGAGAAACACCATATAGACACCAAGAACAACTGTATAGATACTTAGAAACACTGTGTAGACACCGAGAAACATTGTGTAGACACAGAGACGCTGTATAGACACTTAGAAACAGTATAGGTACTGAGAAGCACTCTATAGACACTGAGAAGCACCCTATAGACACTGAGAGACACTGTATAGATACTTAGAAGCACTGTATAGGCACCAAGAGACACTGTATAGACACTTAGAAACACTGTATAGGCACCGAGAAACACCATATAGACACTGAGAAACATCATACAGACATTGAGAGACACCAAGAGACACTGGGAAATACTATAGACGCTCAAACGCTATATAGACATGAGAAACACCGTATAGACACAGAGAGACACCATATAGACACCGAGGAACACATATAGACACTGAGAAACACCATATATACACAGAGACACCATGTAGGCCATGAGAAACACCGTATAGACACTGAGAAAGACCACATAGACACCAAGAAACACCATATAGACACCGAGAAGCACTGTAAATACACTGAAAAACACTATTGACATCAAGAAACACAGTATAGACACCGAGAGACACCGTGTAGACACTGAGCTGACGAAATTCCTATCTCCAACTCTGCTGCGTCGATGTGAAGAAAATGTGGGCGAATTACTCAAACTGTGTGTGTCCCTATTTAAAATGAGCTGTAAAGACAGAGTGGAATTTGAACAATTGTTTCTGAGTACAACACTACAGTTGCCTATACATTTTTCCAAAGGCAGCAATCCCTGTATTTTTGCACTCCTTGTTTCAGGGCGCAGATATTGTATTCAATATTTAACGCTGATGTTGGGTTGAGATCCTAGAATTTTCATCCTCCGACAGCATTGTGTCAGAAACACAGACTGAGGGGGATGATACACCTTTCTCTGGGACAGTGAGGGTTAGGCGGTCAATACCAGTTTTGCCAATGATGCCCACATTCCAAGAATAAAGTTAAGAATGAATCATCGTAGTATATCCATGATGTCAGTAGAAGGGGCAAGTTACTGCAGATGCTACAATCTGTACTGAAAACAAAAAATGCTGGAAATCACAGGGGGTCAGGCAGCTTCCATGGAGAGAAAGAGCAAGCTAATGTTTCTGTGAAGAGTCACCTAGACTCGAAACGTTAGCTCTCTCTCTCTCCACAGATGCTGCCTGACCTGCTGTGATCTCCAGCATTTTCTGTTTCCACCGCATTTGAAGGGACCTTTTCCTACACCATCAGTTCAGTTGCACAGGCAGCAATATGTGACAAGGCAATATGACTGGGAAACCAGCTGGATTAAGTAATAACGATTAGAAGTAGCTTTGTAGTTAAGATCGCCTGGAACTTGCAGGGGTATTCTCCTGAATGGATCACTACAGCATTCGATCCCCTTGTAAAATCAGCATCATTTCATGTGCAGCTTCAAAAAGAAAATGGGACATGGAGAGTAGCTGATTTTTTTAAAGCTTTGAATAGACTCGTTTAGTTTCCTCTCTGCATTTATAATCGGAGCGTCTTTAAATAATGTTTTACACAATTGAGAGCAGGTTAATTAAGTGCGGTGAAAAATTCGCAGCTCAAATAGAGACATGGATTACGTAATATTATCCAGCTGAGTGAAGAAAACAGACTTCGATTTATATCGTGCTTGTTGATGACGTGTGACGCACAATTCTGCACATCAAAGAGCATATCAGCCCCACAATTTATGATGATATATCATTTCTCTGCATTCTTGTAAGAGCAAGAAGACAGGAGACTTGTACAAATGCAGTCAGCAATCTGTAGGGGAGGCCGAGTGGTATTATCGCTGGACTGTTAATCCAGAGACCCAGATAATGTTCCGGGGACCCAGGTTTGAATCCCGTCGTGGCAGATGGTGGAATTTGAATTCAATAAAATATCTGGGATTAGCAATCTAATGATGACCTATCGATTGTAGGAAAAACCCATCTGGTTCACTAATGCCCTTTAGGGAAGGAAACTGCCATCCTCACCTGGTCTGGCCTACATGTGACTCCAGACCCACAACAATGTGGTTGACTCTGAACTGCCCTCAGGGCAATTAGGGATGGACAATAAATGCTGCCTGGCCAGCGATGCCCTCATCCTGTGAATGAATAAAGAAAAACTGAAACTGAAGGCAAAACTGGTCAAACTAATGGATGATGCAGCCTTTAGGAACATTGTGTTCAACAAATACTGATTCATTCTTCAACAGTGTGGAATTTGGCAAGCCTGGTGCTGTTCTGATGCTGGATGACGATCACTATTTTGTGGAAGATTGAGTTTTTTTTTCTCTCTCTTTCTCTGAAATGTTCATCATGCTTTAGATCTGGAAAACCCACCAATCCCACTCTGGTTCTGCTTTTTATTCTGCTTTATTGTGGGAAGGGAATGCACAGTATCTGACCATCTCCGCCATGCTTAGCAGTCAAATTAATTAATTAATTCAGGAAGCACCACAGAGTTACATGAAATTTGATGGGTGAGCTCTTTAATGACTACAGGTTGTGGAGTCATAGGAGTTTACAACATGGAAGCAGGCCCTTTGGCCCAACGTGCCCATGCCACCCAGTTTTCACAATTAAACTAATCCAGTTTAAATGAGTCCTGTGTAGAGGAGGTGATGGCCTAGCGATATTATTGCTGGACTGTTAATCCCTGGACCCAGATAACGTTTTGGGGTACCTGGGTTCGAATCCCACCACGGCAGATGGTGGAATTGGCATTCAATAAAATATCTGGAATTAAGAATCTAATGATGACCATGAATCCATTGTCAATTGTTGGGGAAAAACCCATCCTTACCTGATCTGGTCTATATGTGACTCCAGACCCACAGCAATGTGGTTGACTCTGAATTGCCCCCTGGGTAATTAGGGATGGGCAATAAATGCTGGCCTAGCCAGTGACGCCCTCATCCTGTAAATGAACTTTTTAGAAGTTTGCCGGCGTTTGGTATTCATCCGTGTACCTGTCAAAATACTTCTTTAATGTCAAAATTGTGTTTGCTTCCATTACTGCAAGGGGTAGCATGATGGCTCAGTGGTTAGCACTGCTGCCTCATAGTGCCAGGGACCCAGGTTTGATTCCAGCCTCAGGTGACTGTCTGTGTGGAGTTTGCACATTCTCCCTGTGTCTGTGTGGGTTTCCTCTGGGTGCTCTGATTTCCTCCCACAGTCCAAAGATGTGCAGGTTAGGGTGGATTGGCCGTGGGAAATTGCTCATAGTGTCCAGGGGCATGCAGGCTGGGTGGGTTAAGCCATGGGAAGTACAGGTTTACAGGGATAGGGTGGTGGGGTGGGATACTCTTCAGAAGGTCAGTGTGGACTTGGATGTCTGCTTCCACACTGTAGGGAAGTCAATGATCCAATACCTCTAACAGTCAGTTCCACACACTTTACCACCCTCAGTGTGAAAACAAAAATTGCCCCTCTGGGCCCTTTTGTATGTCTCTCCTCTCACCTTAAACCTAAGTCCTATGGTTTTACACTCCCCTCCCATGGGGCAAAGCTGTTGGCTATCTACCTTATCTATGCCCCTCGTGATTTTATAGACTGCTGTAAGGTCACACCTGAGTTTCCTGCACTCCAGGGAAAAAAGACCCAGCCTATCCAACTTATCCAGATTCGTATGCTGTTGGAGGTCATAGAATCATTACAGTATGGAAACAGGCCATTTGGCCCAACAAGTCCACACCGCCCCTCCGAAGAGCATCCCACCCAGACCCAGAGCTGGATTCTTCTTAAAAAAATTCATGTAAATACTGTGCCATCTAGAATTTAAACAGCCAGACTACAGTGAACTCACATTGATTTCCATTTGTCTGGATGTATAAACTGGTGAATAATATTTGGATATATTAAGAGCAGAATAAAATTCTTTAGTTTGATGTAATTCCTGGTGCTTCAGTCTTTGGTCACATCTGATTGGGATTTTTAAATTCAACGCATGCTTGCCAGAATCTTTATGCTTGTTTTCTATAATTTGTGGAAAATCGCAGGCTGGCAGGCAGAGAAGCATAACGCCCAGCCCTCTTAACTCTCCAGATTTCTTGTTCTGTTCACAACAGTGAAGCACTCACTATGTTCGAGAGCCCTTCAGATATCAGATACAATTTGAGCAACTAATGTATGAAAGTATGTTACAAGTGAAATACTTTTATCCTCAACTGTACTTTCTAAAAATTGTTTGCCAACCAGGAATTTCCTCAGAAGGATTGCTGCCTGGAAGTACTGGTGTTTGACTCTCTAAACCAGCTTTTAGTTACTATGCGTAATTGACAATTCTTATATATTCTGAGGGCCGGCATTGGAGTGCAATAAGTACGTCCTTCCTTCGATAATCTCTCTGGTTCACTAATGCCCTGTAGGAAAGGAAATTTACTGCCGTTACCTGCTCTGACCTACACATGACTCCTGACCCACAGCAATGTTCTTAACTTCCCCCTGAAATAGCTTCGAGAGCCAGTCTGTTCAAGGGTCATTACAGGATGGAGAGCAAGTGCCAGCCTCAGCAGAAACGCCTATATCCCGTTTAAGAATAAGTTTTAAAAAGTGAGGAGACCGAAACTGTGCCCCATACTCCAGCCGCGGTCTCACCACAGTAAAGGAGCTGGAATCTGTACTGCGAACGAAACATGTTGGAAATCACAGCAAATCAGGCAGCCCCCATGCGATTGTAACGTTTAAACAAGATCAATTTTGATGAAGGTGTTCACACAGCAGAGCACAAACTAATGCTTCTGATCGAGATGACTCTTCATCAGAGCAGTCATGTGTCTAACCAGGCCCTGTTTAAATTCAGCAAGACCACCTTAGATAGCTTTAGATTATTACCTGGTTAGACACATGTACGGGTGAAGGTGGGATTTGAACCTCGAATCTCTGACCCAGAGATACAAGGCCACCTTACTCTTGTACTGTTATTCCCTTGTAGTAAACACTGACATGCTGTTTGTCTTACTAACTGCTTGCTGTGCCTGCATGCAAACCTGCTATGCTATGAGGGAGCATTGTGCCACAGTGTCCCCACCTCAAGGCAATACAATGTGGGTTAAGTCCCACCTCTATCATGACACGTCTGAACAGGTTTTTAAAAATTTTTTTCTCTGCGCCCAAGTCTTGCTGAATGTCAGCATTTAGAAGTTTCCCACCTTTTAAAAAGATATTCACACCAGAGTGCATAGTTATCTCCAAACCCTCACATCCTTTGTTTGTTTTGAGCAGTGGTCTAACTTCCTGATGTCAGCATTACAAGAATTGATTTGTTATAGATCATGACAACAGCAAGACTGGAGTAAAGTTAGTGCAGGGTGTGAAAATCACTCAGTATTTTTCAAAGATTTATGATTTGGGAGACAGCGTAAAATCTCTGTTGCAGTACACACGCAGTGAGTAATGTGTGGCCTTGATTTGAACTCTGCAGAAACCATTTGAGAGCGGTTCAAGTGAGCCATGGGAACTGATCTGCCCCTGATCTGACCTTTGGTGGTGGCCAGGCCATTCTTCCACTCCCCCCACCCCAACCAAAAACCTGCTGATGTCCCCTCTAAGTATGGTCTAATGGTCTAACTCTTAGATCTTTACATATCAGCCATGATCGAATGGCGTAGCAGACTCAATGAACTGAATGGCCTAATTCTGCTCCTATGGTCTGAGTGTGCACATGATGCTGTCGGTATTAGTATCTGTAATTTTGACCAGCTGCCTGAGAATGGGAGCACTTGCTGGCTTGTATTCTGCACCAAACCAGGCTGAAAGAGCAGCAATACCCCAGTTCCTGAAGATTAATACCAATTTTTTTTTTTGGTTTGGTGCAGGAGAAACAGGGGTTGCATGCCCCTCCTGATTTCCTCTCTCCCCTACTCCCACACCCTCAGGTAAGCGTCTTCTCCCATCTCTGATTGCCCTACTTCAAGGCCATTCTGGCAGGTCTCCTGTGCTTTCCCCAAATGCCTGCCAAATTCCTGTCCTGGCTACCGACCACACGATCCGTCCTGGAGGACCCTCTTGGAAGTGTCAGTGAAGCTCAGAGGTGAAATCCTGTCAGAATAAAAATGATCAGAGGTATAGATAGAGTGGGCAGCCGGAGACTTTTTCCTAGGGTGGAGGTAGCTATTACGAGGGGGCATAGTTTTAAAGTGAGTGGAGGTAGATATAGGGGAGACGTCAGAGGTAGGTTCTTTACTCAGAGAGTGGTAGGGGCATGGAATACATTGCCGGGAGACGGTAGTGGAGTTGGCCTCATTAGGGGCATTTAAGCGGCTATTAGATAGGCATATGGATGATAGTATAAGGTAGGGGTGGAGGTTAGATAGACCTTAGGTTTAGGGTAAAAGTTTGGCACAACATTGTGGGCCGAAGGTCCTGTACTGTGCTGTACTGTTCTATGTTCTATGATCTATGACCCTGGCATGCAAGCTCACCACTCGAACTTCTGCCTCCACACACCCTTTCCCTTTCCCCCTTCCCCCAAGACTGTAGCTTCTGAAATGCCCTTTTTATTGAGCCTGCTCTTTCTTTTCCAGGGTTTACCGGGACCAATGGGGAAGCCGGGACCGAAAGGGTATCGGGTAAGTGATCAAGGCTCAAACCACTTCCTGTGAAATCGAAGGGTTCGGTTCATTTGACTCAGTGATGAATCGCTTCATTGTTTTCACTAAGTCGCCCTCTTCCTGGGGGTCGCGTGAGTGTCGGACCCTCAGTAAAAGGCTCACGTGGATTTTGTGAGTCCTTTTACATTATCCAGAGGTTGTGCTGACTGAGCTTCTCAGTTACATAATTGTTTTGTTTTTCTTTCAATGAAAAGCAGAATTAAGACGATTTTAGTAAACAATTTTCAGCTCGTGAACCTTATCTAAGTGAGAGATGGGATCCATGTATTGACAAGATTTGGATTTGGGTTTGTGTCTGTCTTAATAAATGGAGTGAGAACACGTCTTTTGGTCTGTTTCCCTCTCTGTCTATTTCCAGCAACAGGCACGCTAAACCTAATGCCATTTTGTCCCCACTTTCTCAATGTATCTTCCTGTTGGTAGTAGCGAGAAAAAGATCTCAAGATCATACAGTCTAATGGTATACAGACTTGAATATTCAACCTTTTCCTGGACATAATCTCCAAAGTTAATTAAGTGGATACTGGACGCTCCTTCTCTCTTATTTTCCTCATCCTCAGCTCACTAATCAGTGCCGAGGAGAGGCTGAAGAAGTTGGGACTGTTGGGAAGAAAGCCAAGAGTTGACAGAACCGTGAGAGATAGTAAGAACTGCCGATTGCTGGAGTCAGAGATTTCTGAAGAAGGGTCCTGACCCGAAACGTCAGCTTTCCTGCTCCTCTGATGCTGCCTGGCCTGCTGTGTTCATCCAGCTCTACACTGTGTTGACAAAACCATGCGTGAGCTGGCTGCAGTAGATAGGGAGCAGCTCAGAAAAGAATGAGGGAATAGATTTGTAATGATGTGCAAACAATGCCAGGGGGCTGTGAGAAAAAGGAATCTTTTTCACACACTGAGTAGTTAAGAAATGCACTGCCTGGAAATGTGGTGGAGGCAAGTTCAATTGGGGCACTCAAGAGGGGCATTGGATGGAAATAATGTGCAAGGGTTTGGGGAAAAGGCAGGAGATTAGCGCTGGACAATAGAACCAGTGCAGGTATGATGGGCTGAATGGCCTCTTTCCACATTATAACAATTCTGTGATTAAAGGAGTGACATTTTGCCTCAGTACTGCGGAATAGTCACAGGGATTTGACTTTTAAGATGACATAGTGCTGTCCTGACATTGGAAAAGATGTGTAAGACATAAATAAAAAACGAAAAAACTGCGGATGCTGGAAATCAGAAACTAAAACAGAAATTGCTGAAAAAGCTCAGCAGGTCTGGCAGCATCTGTGGAGAGAAATCAGAGTTAACGTTTCGGGGTCCAGTAACCTGTGTTCTGAGGAAAGGTCACCGGACCCGAAACGTTAACTCTGTTTTCTCCTTCACAGATGCTGCCAGACCTGCTGAGCTTTACCAGCAACTTTGTTTTTGTTACCAACTCACTAATTTCCTTTAGAGAATCATATCTTTACCCAGGCTGGTTTACATATGCCTCCAACCTATCTCTGAAAGGCCACTCAGTTCAAGGGCAATTAGAGGTGGGAGTCAAATACAGCAATACCCAAATCCCATGAAAAGCTCCATATTAGGGTGAGAAGGATAGCTCCAAGGAGAAACAAATCCTGCAAATGCTGGAAATCTGAAAGAGCAGCCTGGAAATCTCAGCAGATCATGTAGAGAAACAATAGTTCATGTTTCAGGGAGATTTTTTTTATATGATTGACAGCGAGAAGTTGTTCTTCATTACATATGAGTTGTAGCGTTGTAGAGTTGTACCCAGATCCTGCCTTCGAAGCTGAGATTGTGGAAATGTGGGAGAATATTTCTTCAATAAATGTGGAGTTGTTTTAAATAAAAGTGAGGGTGGCGCTCAGTGGTTAACACTGCTGCCTCACAGCGCCAGGGACCCGGGTTCGATTCCACCCTCAGGCGACTGTGTGGAGTTTGCACATTCTCCCCATGTCTGCTTGGGTTTCCTCCAGGTGCTCCGGTTTCCTCCCACAGTCCAAAGATGTGCAGGTTAGGGTGGATTGGCCATGCTAAATTGCCCCATTTTATCCAGGGATATGCAGGCTAGGTGGGTTGGCCATGGGAAATGTGTGGTTACAGGGATAGGCTAGGAGGGTGGATCTGGGTGGGATGCTCTTCAGAGTGTCAGTACAAACTCAATGGGCCGAATGGCCTCATTCTGCATGGTATGGATTCTATGATGCTTCAAGTAGATGACTTTTTGTCAGCACCTGTTTTGGAGGATGGTCATGATTGTCTCTTCAGCAAGAAAGAGCTGTCTGTTTGTCAGATATACCCAGGGTTTCTTCCTTGGGGTTATTAGTGACATTTTCACTGGGACTGTACAAGGTGGAGCGTACTAAGGATAATATTTGTGTCAACTGACCAGAGCCGACCAAATACCCCATTATAGCAATGGTTACAGTCAATTATATTAGCCCTAATGAGTAGATGGAGTGTTCCATCACTAACTTGCTCTATCCCAGCTGACATTGTTGTGGTTCCCCAGAAACGTATTTATCTGTGGCTTCAGACCTTTGAACAAACTCCTCAGATTACAGAGTTGAAATAATAACGACGCCTTGGAATTGGCAGTCGGTTCATGTGTGTGTGTGATCGGCTTTTCACCAACGTTCACAAATTCCATTCTCACAATATTCGCTTTCTCATGTCATCCCAGAATCACAGGATGAGGCCATTCTGCCCATCGTGCCTGTAACTAGATCTATTATCTTGTTCAGCTCTATTATCTAATGCTAATCTCCTGCCTTTTCCTCAAATCCCTGCACTCCATCACAATGCAATGCCCTCTTGAATATCTCCACCACATTTCCAGGCAGTGCATTCCATACCTGAACCACTCGCTGTGTGCAAAAGTCTTCTCACATCATTCTTGCGTTGTTTGCACATCACTTTAAAAGTTCTTTGAATGGTCCTCAAATGTGGTTTTCAGGATCTTGACATATAGTGCAAAGTGCCGGCTGTTTGTTGCCCTTGGTTTCTGTGGTTCTTCTGAAATACCATGGTGTTGTTGCCATCTTTGTAGGCACTTATTCTTCTCTGTCTATTCCTGTATTGCTAATTGGCTTCCTTTCGCAAATCAATTGGAGAGTTGTCTTGATGTTCGGTATGAGATTATATTGGATAGATAGTGCCAAAGACAGGGCCTTTCAATCCATGCTAGAGTTTATCCCGAATTCACGCCTCCTGTTTTCTTTCTTCATCACCAAAACCCTGTGTTTGCTTCTCTCTCTAGCACTTGGCCAGCTTCCTGTTAAATGCGTCTTTGTAATTTGTTTCCACCGCTCCCTGGGTAGCACACTGCTCATGCTACCTCTCCTCAAATGAAGAGGTTTCTTTTGAATTGCTTATTGGATTTCTCAGTGGTTTATTTTACGCTGATGGCCTCCTGTATCTCTGTGAGAGGAAACATCTATCATAAGGAGGTTTGCTCCCTCATCAAGAGTCAGACGTTTCACTTGGTAGCTGTGAACCCGGGTAAAGTGTCTTGCCAACATACAGGGCTGTGATTGCATGAAATGGTCACCATCCACCGACGAGGGGATTTGGATCATTGTAGAATATCTCTGCATTTACTCCTCAGCACAAGGCCATTCAGAACATGCATGCACTTGAGTGTATTTTGTTGAATGGTTCCATTGCCCCCAGTCCCAGGGCCAGAGGAGTTTGTTTTACTGTAAATGTTTCTCTGACCATCACCTTTGTTATTTTTGGTTGTCGGTATTTTTTTGTTCCTCTTGAGGTTTGTTGATGAGGTTCAGGTCTGGGAAGTGCATGTAAGGGATTCATTCCTATATTTAATGGCCTGAGCAATGAAGGCAAGCGTGCCAAACGCCTTTTTCACCATTCTGCCTACTTATGACTCAACTTTCAAAGACCTGTGTACTTGAACCCCTAGGTCTCTCTGTTTGACAACCCTCCCCAGACCCCTACCATTAACTGTGTAAGTCCTTCCCTTGTTCATCTCACTAAAACACAATACTTCACATTTATATAAATTAAGCTCTATCTGCCACTCCTTGGTCATCAGGAACATCCTTCTTGTATTTACCATGTCTAATCCAGTTAGAAGTTTATAAGTTTCTCTGAGATTCTCCCTCATTCTTCTAAACTCGAGTGAATAAAGTCCTAACCTATCCAGTCCCTCCCTGTCTGTCAATCACACCTTCCCAGGAATCAGTCTGGTGAGCCTTCTTCACACTTCCTGGATCCACTTCAAACCAGTACAGAAATAGATGAAGTGATGGTACATCGAACACTTGATGGTTCCCATTTGACAACAAGTATTTGTATCTCTGACTCTCGCTCTTCCTAGGTTCCTCTTTTGGCCAGTTCCAGCAGGTGTATGGCCAGAGAATGTCACTAAATGAGGAAGAAAGGTTAGCAGATGCATGGTCATTCCTCAAAGGACAGACATCCTCCGAGCATCACAGTGCCACTCTGTTCTTCCAATGCCCTTCAGAGGCATTTAGTTCAATCAAGTATAGGTTCAAGGATCTTCCAATCAGAATAAAATGATGCTTCAGGGACATACCTCATGTGCTGCACAAGACAGACAATGTTGCTGACCGTGTGAATTGCAGTGTTCCAATCTGTTGTTGAGATGTGACTTTTATCCAGATAATAGGACTTAAGGAAAGAGCTTGTCATAATTGTGTGTAGAGAAAGGTTTCAGTTTGAAGGGTTATGAAGAGCCTACAGTGTGGGTAATCCTCTCTCCATGTTTTTCAGACATCATGTAAGAGGGATGCTCAGTTAGTTGGATGGCTGGTTTGCAATGCAAAGGATGGGTTCAGTTCCCATACTGGCTGAGGTTCCCATATAGGGCCCTCCTTCTCAACCTCACCTGAGGCATGGTGACCCTCAGGTTAAACCACTACCAGTCATCTCTAATGAGAGAGAGCAGCCTATGGTCACTTGACCTTATGAGGGGGATGTTGGGGG